TAACACGACCTTGGCTCACAACAACCTCCACCTCCTGGGTTCAAGTAATTCTCCTGCCTCAGCCTCCCAGGTAGCTGGGGTTACAGGTGGATGCCATTATGCCCTGCTAATTTTGTATTTTCAGTAGAGATGGGGTTTCTCCATGTTGATCGGGGTGGTCTCGAACTCCTGACCTCAGGTGATCCGCCCACCTTTGCCTCCCAAAGTGCTGGGATTACAGGCGTGAACCACCGTGCCCAGCCTTGTTCTAAGTCTTTATTTCTTGATTTTTTCAAAATAAACTGAAAACATTAAATAGATATACTATCTTCTCTCTCTCTCTCTCTCTCTCTTTTTCCAGACAGGGTCTCACTTTGTCACTCAGGCTGGAATGCAGTGGCACAATTTCTGCTCACTGCAGCCTCAACCTTCTGGGCTCAAGCAATCCTCCCACCACAGTCCCCCAGGTAGCTGGGATTCCTGGTCTCAAGCTATCCACCCACCTTGGCCTCCCAAAGTGCTGGGATTACAGGCGTGGGGCACAGCTCCCAGACAAGAGACAGGGTTTTGCCATGTTGCCCAGGCTGGTCTTGAACTCCTGAGCTCAAACGATCTGCCCACTTCGGCCTCCCAAAGTGCTAGAATTACAGGTGTGAGCCACCACACCCAGTGATATATTCTCTTATATGTTAATATAGTTTTCTCAGTTTATTACTATTAACAAATATTTATAAAAATACGAAAAAATCATTGAGCAGAGGTAGAATCAATATACTTTCTTCTTCTCCTCTTCAGTCTCCTCCATCTTTTTATTCCTATCTTCCTCTTTCTTTTTGCCCCTTTCTGCCTCCCTTTATATGCCTGTTTGAAAATTTTAATTGGCTATATAGTCAGCAGCAGAATTGTTCTGTACATTCTATATATTAATCTGCTTGTTGGTTTTAGACATTACGAATATCACCTCCCATTTTGTTATCTACCTGTTAGCTTTGTCTATGTGGTGTCTTTACTGAATATAATTTTAATTTTGATATTAATAAAATTAATCAAGAAGGTTTTGATTCAGATCAACCTGGGGTAAGCACACTTTCCTCCACCTTTCCTACTGAATGCAAGTAAAAATCCTGAATGGAATATATACAACAATCGATTGTCTGATTTTTAAAAAAATTAATCTTCTCCATAGAATTTAAGTAAGACCCAGAATCACATAACATAATATTCAAAATGTCCCAACTGGGTCCAGTGGCTCATGCCTGTAATCTCAGCACTTTGGGAGGCTAAGGCGGGTGGATCACCTGAGGTCAGGAGTTCAAGACCAGCCTGACCAACATGGAGAAACCCCTATCTCTACTAAAAATACAAAATTAGCCGGGCATGGTAGGGCATGCCTGTAATTCCAGCTACTTGGGAGGCTGAGGCTGAATAGCTTGAACCTGCGAGGCGGAGGTTGTGGTGAGCTGAGATTGTGCCACTGCACTCCAGTCTGGGAAACAAGAGCAAAACTCCATCTCAGAAAAAAAAAGTCCCAGATGCAACAAAAATTGCTTGACATTTGAAGAGCCAGGAAGATTTCAACATTTTACGAAGGACAAAACAACAGATAACAATCCCAAGATGACACAGATGTTCGAATTACAAAAGACTTTTTTTTTTTTTTTTAAATAGAAATGGGGCCTCGAGGTCGGCCGGGCGCGGTGGCTCAAGCCTGTAATCCCAGCACTTTGGGAGGCCGAGGCGGGTGGATCACGAGGTCAAGAGATCGAGACCATCCTGTTCAACATGGTGAAACCCCGTCTCTACTAAAACTACAAAAAATTAGCTGGGCATGGTGGCCCATGCCTGTAATCCCAGCTACTCAGGAGGCTGAGGCAGGAGAATTGCCTGAACCCAGGAGGCGGAGGTTGCGGTGAGCCGAGATCGCGCCATTGCACTCCAGCCTGGGTGAAACTCCGTCTCAAAAAAAAAAAAAAAAAAGAAATGGGGCCTCACTATTTTGACCAGGTTGGTCTTGAACTCCTGCCCTCAAGTGATCCTCCCACCTTGGTCTCCCAAAGTGTTGGGATTACAGGCATGAGCCACCATGCCTGACCCAACCAAAGACTTTAAGGCAACTATTATAACTAGGCTCCAAGAAATAAGTATGAACCCCTTTGAAGCAAATGGAAAGACAGAAAGTCTCAGCAGAGAAATAGAAGACATAAAAAAGGGACTCAATGGAAAGTTTAGAATGAAGAAATACTACAATAATTGAAATTTTAGAAATTCATTGAAAGGCTTAATAACTGGAATGGAGATGACAGAGGAAAGTCATTGAATTTGAAGATAGATGAATAGAAATTGTCTAGTCTAAACAAAAGAGAATAAAGATCGAAGGAAAAGACAAACAGAATCTCAGGGTACTGTGTGGCAATATAAAAAGATCTAGTATTCACATTTTCAGAGTCTCAGAAGGAGAGGAGAAAAAGTGTAGTGCAGAAAAATAGCCAGGCACAGTGACTCGTGCCTGTAATCCTAGCACTTTGGGAGGCCTAGGCAGGAGAATTGCTTGAGCCCAGGATTTCAAAGACAGCATAGGCAACATAGTGAGACTCTGTCTCTAAAAAAATAATAATAATTAAGTGTAAAAAAAATTAATGAAAAGAAAGTATTTGGAGGAATAATGACAGAAAATTCTCCAAACTTGGTAAAAGACATAAACTTACAGGTTCAAGAAACTCCATGAATCCCAAAAAAGATAAACTCCAAAAATTCTACACCCAACCACATCATGATCAAACTGCTGAAAATAATAAAGAAAATTAAAAGATACTTAGAACTTAACGACAATACATATCAAAGTGCATGCAACTGAGCTAAAACAGACTTTAGGGGTCTGTTCTAAAGCTATATTTATAGCTTTTACTCTATTCACCAAGAAATAAGAGAAGTTAAAAAAATAAATGAGTTAAACATTCCACTTAAGAAATTGTAGGCTGGGAAAGGTGCAGTGGCTCACCTGTAATCCCAGCACTTTGGGAGGCTCAGACATGGGGATTGCTTGAACCCAGGAGTTTGAGGCCAGCCCTGGCAACATAGTGAGAACCCATCCTTCCAAAAAAATTTTCAGGTTTATAAAAATAAAAGAGAGATTTCAAGCTGGGAATAGTGGCTCATGCCTGTGACCCTAGCAATTTGGGAAACTGAGGCAGAAGACAGGAGTTCGAGACCAGCCTGGGCAACATAGTGAGAACCCCTATCTCTACAAAACAAAGTGGCTTTCCACTATTTTGGAGGTTCTAATCTTGTGGGAGAGAGAAGATAATGTAAAAGGATAAACTTCCCCCCAAAACTATTGAAATTTATAAAAAAAGATAAACCATCAACTCACGGCAATATAGGGTAATAGTAATAGTTTGCACATATTGTTTCCAGTTTTACAAACTCATTGTATGTATCCTCACAGAAACCTAATGAGATGGGTGCTATTATTGTATTATTACTATTATTATTATTATTATTATTTTTAAAGACGGAGTTTCACCATGTTGGTCAGGCTGGTCTTGAACTCGCAATCTCAGGTGATCCGCCCACATTTGGCCTCCAAAGTGCTTGGATTACAGGCATGAGCCACCACGTCCAGCCTATTGTATTATTTTAAAATTAGGAAATCAAGTCCTAGTTCCACTAAGATGTCAAAAGACAAAATGGGCACAGATTTAGTTTTATTTGTGATTCTAGAATTGGGAGAAGTGGTCTGAAAAGCTGAGAAGAGGAGGTTGACTTAATAGGCAGAGAAAGGCTGAAGAAAGCTGAAACAAGACAAAAATTGGATTGCTTGTTTCAAAGTTACTGTTCTTATAGTGTTAAAAACACAGGACGCTACTTCATTATTGACTTAGGTTGAGTGGAATCTGTTTTTCTGGAAAACCGGTCAGTTTCCAAGTTCAGTTTGATTAGTGCTACTAAGCACAAGGGACTCCCTTCTATTTTGGTCTGTTCTGCTGGGGCCTCATGCAGGAGGCTAGTTGAAAACAATGGCCTCTCATAAACTTTGTTTAACAAAGGTCACATAACTATTAAGTGGCAGAGACAGGATTAGAATTTAGGTCTCACCATACTCTGCAACTTAGCTTCTCTAACTTGTTTCCTTGTGTACCAAAGTAAAGAAAGGTCATGGTGAGCTGGAGAGAATAGGGAGGGTAAAGGACACAGCATTGATTCTGAAAAAAAGTGCTGATCCTATTGGGAAAATGTGAAGAGTATTAGCAGTAGGTAACTAAAGAAAACACCATTTAAAAAAATCTCAGGCCAGGCACAGTGGCTCAGGCCTGTAATCTGAGCACTTTGGGAGGTGGCGCTGGAGGTGGGCAGATCACTTGAGCCCAGGAGTTTGAGACCAGCCTGGGCAACATAGTGAGACCCCATCACTACAAAAAAATACAAAAATTAGCTGGGCGTAGTGCCAATGCCTGTAGTCACAGCTACTCAGGATGCTGAGGTGGGAGGATCACTTGAGCCTGGGAGGTGGAGGTTACAGTGAGCTAACACCACTGTACTACAGCTTGGGTGACAGAGTGAGACCCTGTCTCAAACAAAGAAACAAAACCCTCTCTTCATATTCCTATTTGAATAGTTTTTTCTTTATAGGATCCATTAGCAATGTACAATTAAAGGACAATCAGGTTTCAAAACTAGAATGAAAAAGTCCTTTCAGTGGAAATATCAGGGCTCCATGAAGGACAGGCACAATACTTTCAACATCGAAAGTGCTTCAATATATGAAATAAAATGTATTTCAGAAATGTAGTTTATTTCTGAAAACAGAAAAGTATACTAAAAGATTACAGTATCATATCTCCTCTAGTCAATGGGTTATGACCAGCGAAGTTATATGACTTCCTTGTTTTAACAAGCATTCCTTTTTATGGAAAACATTTGTGTTCAGAGTCTTAAACAACTGCAGTTGGGCCAACAGTTTCTCTTTGTTGCTTACTGTGAAATTCTGCAGATCACGTTTAACATTAAATTCTACCTGACAGGGATCACCAGGAGAGCAGTACACCATCCAAGGACTCGACTCTCTATCCTCGTTCAGACCTCAAAAAGCTGTCCCTTCATGGCCAAGGTGCCTTTCGACCCCTACCTTCCCCCTCCAGGAGGAGCTCTCAGTCTGCAGCAGCTACTGGCAAGGCTGTCAGCGAGCCATCGAGCACAACAAACACAAAGGAACCCCAGGGACTTCCAGATCACAACGACTCCATAAGTGAAATTCCTTTCAAGTGCAATGGGAACGGAAATGAGTTTTACTTAGGAAATTCCCTCCTAGATTCCCCTTCACAGAGCAACTCAAACCTAGAAAAAAAGGAGTCGGAACTTCATTTGTATGTTATTTCCATAACCTCATCAGTATTTCTGCACTTAAAAAGTTCATGGAACAATTATATTATAGTAAGTGTCCTCCGAAGTTAATCCTGACCTGAATTTTTATTTTTTTATTTTTTGGAGCAAACAAACCCTCCCACCTTTACCTCCCATTTTGGAAATTTAGCCTTGGAATTTAATAATATCATGAAAAACAAAATGTGTTGGACAATTAAGGAGATGATTTTATTTAGGCGATTGCAATAGGAAAAAATGCTCATTAATGAGCAGTTTGTGGCCGGGCATGGTGGCTCATGCCTGTAATCTCAGAACTTTGGGAGGCCTAGGTGGGAGGATCACTTGAGGTCAGAAGTTCGTGATCAGCCTGGCCAAGATGGTGAAACCTTGTTTCTACTAACAAATACAGAAATTAGCCGGGTGTGATGGCACACGCCTGTAATCCCAGCTATTTGGGAGGCTGAGGCACGAGAATCACTTGAATTCTAGAGGCAGAGGTTGCAGTTAGTTGAGATTGTGCCACTGAACTCCAGAGCGACAGAGGGAGACTCTGTCCCCCCAACAAAAACAAAACAAAAACAAAAAAACTCTGGGGTTTTGTAGAGGCAAGTAAGTAAGGTTAAGTCATGGAAGTCATGAAGAAGGAGGGAGACAGGTCTTATCTTGGAACATGTGTGAGCAGGTGTTCTTTTGCAGTTGCTGGGGTGACAAAGACCTCAGGTAAGCTTCAATGTTGTCAGTTTGTTTCTGTATTGCTTGGTTGTGCTATTGAAAGTGGGTTGATGGGGGAGACGTTGTTACAGGATCAGATAAATTTATCTAGAGATCACCATTCTAAGTCCTTATTTTATAAATGAGGAAACTGAAACAAAATTTTTGAGTGATTTACTCAAGATTATATAACTTTAGGGGCAGAGTCAGAACTCCCATTTAGGGACCTTTTTCTTAGTTTTATTAGATGGTTTAAAAAACAAGTAATTATTAAAAGAGCAACACAATCTCTTTATCTTCAGGAATAGAATTTTTATTAGTGATCTTTCAACATAATAATAATTATTATTATAAAGGGCTATTTCAGTTAGAAGAAACTAGGAAGCCAGGGTTTTATAAATGGCTAAAAATTATGAAAGATTACAAGACAACTATTAATTTTTTTCTCACACCACTGTTTGAAAGACTTCAAATATTTAAAATTTCTTTCTAAATTTTTAAACAGTTTCTTCAAATTAAAAATGTAAACAGGGCCGGGCGCGGTGGCTCAAGCCTGTAATCCCAGCACTTTGGGAGGCCAAGGCGGGTGGATCACGAGGTCAAGAGATCGAGACCATCCTGGTCAACATGGTGAAACCCCGACTCTACTAAAACTACAAAAAATTAGCTGGGCATGGTGGCGCGTGCCTGTAATCCCAGCTACTGAGGAGGCTGAGGCAGGAGAATTGCCTGAACCCAGGAGGCGGAGGTTGCTGTGAGCCGAGCTTGCGCCATTGCACTCCAGCCTGGGTAACAAGAGCGAAACTCTGTCTCAAAAAAAAAAAAAAAAAAAAGTAAACAAATTAAAAATAGAGAAAAACTCTGGTCTATTAAAAAAAGATCTCATATAGTCTAGTAGAAAAGCCAAAACTTAATTTACTTAAAAAAAAAATCTATGTAAATACTTAGAATAACTGTTTGTATCCCTGAATTGCCCAGCTGCAGGTCTTAGCACTACTTTGTAATTCTGCAGCTGAGGCATGGTTGGAGCAGTCAGACTGGCCAACTCATTACCCGCTAAGCTATAAATAGTGTGTGCAATAAAAAATGCAGTAACAGTAACTAATATCTATTGCTATTTTCCTACTAGATAATAACAATAGAACAGAGCCTGATGCTTCATGGATATTAACGTATTTAATTTGTACAACAACCCTAAGAGGTAGGACTGTTATTCCCATTTTATAGATGAGGAAATTGAGGCACCGAGAAATTAAATAATACGTGCAACATCAACTATAGCTAGTGTAGAGCTGAATCCAGGTAGTCTGATTTTTTTTTTCCTATGGCCATTAAATAAATTTGGGTAGAGGAAGACTATCAGTTGGTAGATACTATCATTGAAAATTAAGTTTTCTTAGCCAGGTATGGTAGCATGCACCTATGGTACTAGTTACTCCAGAGGCTGAGATGGGAGGATCATTTGAGCCCAGGAGTTGGAAACTCTGCTGCACACTACTACACTCCAGCCTGGGCAATAAGCAAGACCTCATCTCTAAAATAAAAACTAAGGCCAAGTGTGGTGGCTCATGCTTGTAATCCCAGCACTTTGGGAGGCTGAAGGGGGTAGATCACCTGAGCTCAGAAGCTCGAGACCAGCCTGGACAACATGGTGAGATCCCATCTCTACAAAAAATTCAAAAAATTAGCCAGGCATGTGGTGTATGTGTACTCGGGGGTCTGAGACAGGGGGATTACTTGAGCCTGAGAGGTGGAGGTTGCAGTGAGTCAAGATTGCGCCACTTATACTCCAGCCCGGGTGATAGAGTGAGACTGTGTCTCAAAATATATATATATATATAAAAAATAAAATTTTAAAAAAGTAAAATAAAAAAAAAAAAAATTACAATAATATTCTATCCCTTCCTTGAAAGATGGAAAATGAATAAGCAAATATTTCACATGTAAGTGAGGAATCAGGTTAGAATTCATTCTACTAACAATAAGCTACTAGTTCAATATAAAAGTTTTTTTTTTTAGATGGAGTTTTGCTTTTGTTGCCCAGGCTGGAGTGCAGTGGCACGATCTTGGCTCTCTGGAACCTCCGCCTCCTGGGTTCAAGTAATTCTCCTGCCTCAGACTCCCAAGAAGCTGGGATTACAGGCACCTGCCACCATGCCCGGATAATATTTGTATTTTTTTTTTTTTTTTTTTTGAGATCGAGTTTCGCTCTTGTTACCCAGGCTGGAGTGCAATGGCGCGATCTCGGCTCACCGCAACCTCCGCCTCCCGGGTTCAAGCAATTATCCTGCCTCAGCCTCCCGAGTAGCTGGAACTATAGGCGTGCGCCACCATGCCCAGCTAATTTTTGTATTTTTAGTAGAGACGGGATTTCACCATGTTGACCAGGATGGTCTCGATCTCTTGACCTCGTGATCCACCCGCCTCGGCCTCCCAAAGTGCTGGGATTACAAGCATGAGCCACCGCGCCCGGCCTAGTCTCAATCTCTTGACCTCAGGATCCACCCGTCTTAGCCTCCCAAAGTGCTGGGAGGCTTCTTTTCCTAGGAATTAATATTAACCTATCACAGTCTATGTTGAATTAATATTGTACTACCTCATGGATAATGTAAGTACCTAGCAACACAGTACAATTCTATTTATACCTTGGCCCTTTCTTTGTGCTATTGTTGTCACATATTTTACTACTGCTTATATTATAATCCCCCTCCATAACATATTGTTTGTTTTAACTAACAAACTTAGAAAAACAGCATTTTATAATTATCCACATGAGCCACCGAGCCTGGCCAGAATGAGTTTTATAAACAAATCATGTACTGTAGGGGGGATTAAAGAATAGATATATAATATTGACTAAAGATAGGGGTAATTGATTATCAGTAAATAAAAATTCTAACAGTTTCCACTTTTTCCTCTTTCAGAAAGCTACCCTTTTACAAGATCCCCTCTACGTTAGTGAGTTCAGTCCTGCTATTAGAAGTCAAAAGCCATATAGGTAAGAAGTGATGATATATGATAGAGTTGCATGGGGGATTTTTCTTTCCTCTTTGCCTCTCCTTTTTTTTTTTGAGACTGAGTTGCGCTCTGTCACCCAGGCTGGAGTGCAGTGGCAAAATCTCGGCTCACTGCAACCTCCACCTCCTGGGCTCAAGAGATTCTCCTGCCTCAGCCTCCTGAGTAGCTAGGACTCCAAGCACCCACCACCACACCCAGCTAATTTTTGTATTTTTTAGTAGAGACAGGAGTTTTGCCACTTTAGCCAGGTCGGTTAGATTGGTCTGATCTCAGGTGAGCCGCCCTGCTCGGCCTCCCAAAATGCTGGGATTACAGGTGTGAGCCACCATGCCTGGCCCTCTTTGCCTCTCCTAACTGTTGTATGTGTGGCTATCACAATTATACCTCTACCTCATCTGCCTGCCCTGATGGTTAGGTCCACAAACACAACTATCCACTGGATATCTTTTGTTTGTCTCACAGGAACCTTAAAGTCAACATATTCAGAAGAGAACTCAGCATCTTCCCTCTGGAACCTGACTTTCCTTCTGTGTTTCCTAACACAGGGAATGGTGTCATTATCCCCAGATCACCTAAGCAAGAGTCCTAGATGTCACCCTTGCCTCCTCTCTCCCCTTCGTTTCCCGCATCCAGTCAGTCACAGCATGCCTTATTTATTGTGCCTTTAGTATCTCTGGATAACATCCTCTTCTTTCCATGGCCACTTGCTCAGGCTCCATTATCTCAGTTCTGGGTTCCTACAGTGTTTTCCTAGCTAATCTCTCTGCCTTCACTCTTGCTCCTCTCCGGGCCCATTCTCCACTACAGCAGAGGAATCTTTCTGAAACACAAATCTGATCATGTAGCTCCTCCCAGGAAGCCTTTGAATGGCTTCCCATTGTCCTTAGATGAAAGTCTAAACAGTGTACAAAAATATGTATGACATCTCTTTTATCTTTCTGTCCTCAACTGATGTGTTCATCCTCGCTCCTTCCCTAAGCTCCTGCTCCAAATGAACTTTTCACAATTCTCAGAAAGCTCCCTGTTCTCTTCCCTCTGGGGCCTATGGTAATGGCCCCTGTTCTGTAACGCTAATCTACTCATCTTCGTCTTCCTGAATAACTTCCATCTCATCAAGTCTCAGCTTATTTATCATTTTCTCTGAAAATCTTTCTTGATATTCTAGAACTAAGTTAGGAGGGACTCCTCCATAATGTCCTATGCTCACATATTTTTTTATTTTTATTTTTTAGATGGAGTCTTGCTCTCTTGCTCAGGCTGGAGTGCAGTGGCATGATCTTGGCTCACTGTAACCTCTGCCTCCTGGGTTCAAGCAATTCTCCTGCCTCAGCCTCCCAAATAGCTGGGATTATAGGCACCCGCCACCATGCCCAGCTAATTTTTGTATTTTTAGTAGAGACGGGGTTTCACCATGTTGGCCAGGCTGGTCTGAAACTCCTGACCTCATCATCCTTCAGCCTCAGCCTCCCAAAGTGCTGGGATTGCAGGTGTGAGCCACCACACCAGGCCTGCTCACACATCCTGTAGCACTTACAAGTCTGTATTATGATTGCTTGTTCATTATTTGATGCCCTATTATGCATTACGTTCCTTAAAGGCAGGGACCCTAGAATGAATGCATAAATAAGATAGAGACTGCGAACAGATCATAAAAGGACCTATATGGAAGGCTAAGGAGTTTGCATTTTATCCAGACTTCAGAATTCTGCTATGTTCTGATCACAGACAGGTAGGCTGTATATTGTAGTACTTACTTGTGATGTGAATCTCTCTTTCATTAGATTGTGAGCCCCTGGAAGGCAAGGACTATGTCTTGTTACTCTTGGTCTTTTTCTTACTGAAAACAGTGCTTTGCACATAGTAAGCACTCCGTGAATTGACAGTGTTAGCAATTTTGATGTTATGCAGGTCATGGGCAAATTTTGTGACATTTCTGATAGTGAGGTATATTGGAGAGTCATGTAAATGAGCTGAGAGTGAGTTAATTTTAAAAGATGTATATTCATTCCCCACTAAAAGGAACCAACGTTCCTTAGAGGACATTCTAGATCTGGGGCAGGACATACACAAAATAAGTCTGAAACAGTTTGTTCCAGAAAGAAAGGACAGGGCCCTAAGTAAAGGGCACAGGAACCCACATGAAGGAGCTCCCAGTAGTCAAAGACGGGACAACTTGAGTATCAGAAAAAAATTAGAAATGAGGCTGGGTGCAGTAGTTCTCACCTATAACCCTAGCACTTTGAGAGGCCAAGGTGGGTGGGTCACCTAAGGTCAGGAGTTCTAGACTAGGATTACAGGCATGTGCCACCATGCCCAGCTAATTTTTTGTATTTTTAGTAGAGACAGCGTTTCTCCATGTTGGTCAGACTGGTTTCGAACTCCCAACCTCAGGTGATCTGCCCACTTAGGCCTCCCAAAGTGTCTTTTTTAAAAGGTTCTATGGATAGCTTAAAATTTCTACAGGTTTTCATATGTTTACTTTAAAAAAAGTATCAGTTTTCATTTTAGTGTTTTACTTATAGTGGTTTTAAAACTAATTGTATGATAAACAGACTCAAATTTTGTGTATGTGTGGCTTGAAATTTATTCCTGAAGGCAAGAAGGATGAGTTCTACCACTCTCTTGACTCAGGAAAAGCATATTTCTTACAAAGTTAATTCCTGAAGGCAACATACTTAAAATGCAGTGATTTCAAATGCACTGTGAAGGATGCCATGATACACAAGAGATAGTCTCTATCTGTAAGGCATCTTCAATTTAAAAGGAATAAATATCCCCTAGGTTTTCAATTTAGAAACTGTGTCACAGATGGGACAGTTCTGCAGCTTGACCATTGTGAAAATCATACACAGCGCTTCTGAGATAATATAGGAAGAGCCTTTCCAGCATTTTGCAAATTTGAGGTATTATTTATAGTAAATGTCTGGAAAGATGAAAAAATACAGGGAAAATAGAGCTTATTAGATTAAGTATCTTTCCTACGGCTGGGTGAAGTGGCTCATCCTTATAATTCCAGCACTTTCAGAGGCCAAGGTGGGCAGATCACTTGAGGTCAGGAGTTTGAGACCAGCCTGGCCAACATGGCATAATCTTGTCACTACTAAAAGTAAAAAAATTATCTGGGCATGGTGTGTATGCACTTGTAGTACCAGCTACTTGGGAGGCATAAGAAGTGACTGTTTCAAAACAAACAAGCAAACCCAAAATCTTCCTGCAACATTATTTTGCTGAATTAATGTTTTCTCTCTCTTTCCTTCCTTCCTTCCTTC